CTTTGAGTCTGCCCGATCTGATTTCTCGTTGTAGCTGGTTTATTGTTTGACACCCCCATTGGTTGCACCATGATGTTAGTTTGTGGATCAGACTGCTTTTGATATCATCATCCACCCTGCATTTCTTATTCGTTTCTTTCTCTAGATACCGAATCGCCGCCCTTCCCAAGATGGGTGCTGGATGGGGGAGTTGGAGGCCTCCTTTGTCCCAAGGTAGGTGAAAGATAGCGTTGCTTGTACTCTTGCTCAATCCCATAGCTCTTTTGAATGCTCTGGTCCAGAGGGTATCTAAGGTTTGTAAGTCTGACCAAGACCAGCTCACCAGTACCGCCGAGTATCTAAATATATTGACGATGCCTACCTTCACCAGGTAATATTTTTGGGCTGCCGAGTAAGCAGATGATTCAATCAGCTTGGTCAGTTCTTTTGTCTTCTCCAAGATGTGTTCTTTCTCTCCCCACGTGAAGGGGCAGGTGTGCGCCTTGTTGCCTCTTCCTCCTGGTCTCCACAAGCTGATCCGGATCCCTAGATATTTGAACCATTTTGTCGGTGGTAGGTTCACAAACTCCTTGTCGAAGAACTTGATGGTCTGTGTTCCTGGGATCTCCCTTCTTAGCCGATAATCAAAGCTGGTGATTTCAGATTTCTTCGTGTTCAGTTCTAATCCACTCCATCGACAGAATCGCTCTACCACTTGGACAAGCGTTTTCATCTCTCTCACTGAATGTGCTATCAGGACAAGGTCGTCTGCAAATGACAGATTATTAGGGTGTTGAGTTGCAATCTCGTCTTGTTGTTGATCAAGTTGTTTGGACAAGATGCTGAGCAGAAGATTTGTTTTTGGCGGACTTGCGGGGCTGCCTTGGGGTAATCCTCTGAGAAGTGGGATGGCTGCTGTTTCGAACCTCTCTGTCTGAATTTGCAGCGCTATCCCTTGGCTACAACTGATTGCGACGTCTACATCACACTGGTGAAAGCCATATACTTCCATGATTTTTGCAATGGATTCGACTGCCACATTGTTAGAGAAGTTTGCAAAGTCGAGGTACAGCAGGATGAGGTCGTGTTGATTACTCTGAGCCTCCTCGATGATGTTGAGTAGACGATGACCCTGCCTGATCGTTCCTCCCTCTGGTCTGAAACCTTCCTGGTTGTTAGTGAGTAGCTTATGTTTTTCAGCAGCTTTTGCCAGTCTGTGCGCTATGACTGCCTGGAAGATCCTCGTTATCGAGGAGAGGACGCATATAGGTCTTTGATTCTCCAAGACGTGACATATCTCATTTTTTGGGAGGAGCCTAACTCTCGCGAGCATCTTTAGTGTTTGCTTGTCTCCGATCAAGGCTCGGCTGATTGTCTTGCCTATTTCCTCCTTTGCACTGTCAGGCAGAGCTTTCAGAATCTCGTTTGAAATCAAATCCATGCCTGCTGCTTTCCGGTTGGCCAGTTTTTGAATCCATACTTGGATCTCGCCTGGCTCCAGCGGGTAAGCTATCTCTACATCCCTGGTCGGGTGTTGATTGATTTGCTCTGGGGGTTCGAAGTCCGGTGGTTTGACGGAAGTCAGTGATTGACAGCTTTTGCAGAAGAAGAGGATTGATGCTTCTTCGTTTTTCTGGCTTTTGTCATATAACGGAATCAGTCGTCCTTTTGTTTGACATTCAGCTCTTGCACAGGTTCCGTTCATGGTACATCCGTTGACTGCAAAGAAGGTTGCCGTGTGGGTTTCATCTTCTAGATCTCTTGCCAATCTCATGGGGAGGAATTGCTCGATGTTTTTGTATCCTTCCAGGCGCCACCCTCCTGGCTGTGTGATCAGTCCTCGGATGATGGGTACGATTGCGTGTGCAGGCGCCAGAGTTATGAACAGCTTTTGTGTCAGTGTTGCCTGGTTCCTCGCCCCGAGAACCTCGACGTGCAGCATGGTTTGATGTCTTGCACTCCAAAAGGTTTTGCTTGATTCTTTGGAGTTGCTCTGGAGGAATGTCTCGATTAACGGGTTCAGTTCTTGAAGATATGCTGTCTCCGGCTGTTGCAGCGCTGGCTGGAGATCTCTCCATGACGTAAGTTCGATTGTGTTTGGGTGGCACTTCTCTGGCAGTTGACTCAGCATTGGGGCTTTGGGCTTAAAGTCTGACTTCTTGCCCATTGCATTTTGAGACTCTTTACTCCCTATCGTGCCCAAGCGTCTTCTTTGTTCTTCGCATGTTTTCAGGAATATCTCTTGGTCTTGTGCTGCGCAGATCTCCTTGAATTTGGTCATATTCTCTCTTATTTTTGCATGTAAGCTCGACTCCTTGTGTGCGCGATCAATAAAGTCTGGAATTTCTGAAGCGTTTCTTAAGTCCTTGTGAAGTTGCTTGATTTTGCGTTTCAGATCCATCTGAATTTTGGATGCATGTCTTTTCCCGCTGGAGCCTCGTAGCGGAATTTCCTTGATGGGGAGGGCTGTTGTTATCAATTCGAGAATGTCGCAATCTTGATGTAGAGCTTGTGCCGCTTTTATCTTCTCATCAAGTGCTATTGCCCATTCCACGCCTAGTCTTCCCGATAGCTTGTCCATCTCGACCACCCTTTTCTTTCGTCGAGGGGTTGCTTCTCGATCCCTCCTTTGCGGGAGGATTTCAATCTTTGGGATGGCTTGCTCACCCTCAGCATCGAGCGAGCTCACATTCACTACAAGTGCTCTGTGGTCGACTGCGGCTCCTATGATGCAATCCTCTGCGGTCTGCGATATTAAGCTTACTGTGCAAGATGGATGGTGTAATGCAAAGACATGATCCAGTTTTGCTTGGTGATGACCCTGCTTGTACCATGTGGAGAAGGTGAAGTGCGTGCTGCTTCTGCTCATCTTCTCGCAAGTGACCATCTGGGATCGTCCAAGTTCGTTTAAGCCTTGTTCCATTCTCTCATCTGCACGGTGCACACTCGATTTGCTCCCGTATCCGACTCTCATGGGGATCTCTGGATGTTGTCGAGATGCATTGAAGTCGCCTCCTATGATGGTGAGCTTGACACTTGGCTCCGTCTTGAGCATCTGGCTCAGCGTTGCCCACATCTCGTCTTGATCCTCCCCTTGCGCTGCAGTAGGAAAGTGGGTGTTACAGATCCCTATCGGTTCTTTTTTTCCGATCTGTAAAAGTTGTATTCTTTTTTGGAGATTCTGCTCTTCCAACATGTCAGCGCGGCGGCAGAGCAGGGGGGAGGGACGAGGGAGAAGGTCCGCATGTACTAGCGTCACAAGGCGAAGATCACTCTTACCCTTTCTCCCCTCCCCTGCACCTTTCGTCATGAACACTCGGTAGCATCCCCATTCTTTCTTGATCATCATTCGGAGATCTGCCTCCTTTCGTTTTCCCCCGACCAAAACTTCTTGAAGTAGCACGACTGTTGGTTGATATGTTTCAATCAGGTATCCTAGGATGTGTTTCAGCACAAATTGACTGCATCCATTGACATTGTGAGAAATGATGTTGCCAGGGGCGTTGTCCTTCCTGTGCGTTTCCACCCATGTTGATTGCACTGACCTGTCGGTGGTAGTCGTGGGTGGTTTGCTGCCTGCTGGTAGGATTTGCTCCTCCGCCTCCGTTGCCCATTGAAGGTGAGACGAGTTCCCATCTTGCATCTTTGTTGGGCCTGGTAGCTCCTCCTCTCCCCTTGTCTCCTTGTCATTCTTCGAGATTGGCGCTGTGTGCATTGCTTGTGGCGGAGGAGGTGGCTGGAGTGGAGAGACGGGGCATGAAGCAGGAGGTGGGGGAGGGGAGGACGTCAGGATGTCTACCTGTGCTGACCTGTCTTGTAGTTGCAGGACCGTCGCGGCTATGAGCTTCGTTGATCCTTGTCCTCCTTGCTCCTGCTCGTCTTCCAATCTCTCCTGTAGCCGTGCATCTTCAGATGCCTGGGTCGCCTGTAGATCGCCTGCGCGTTCTTGGCCGTCTTCTCGCCTTTCCATCCGGTTAGGTATACGTTCCATGGTGAGCTCTGCAGCTTGCCATTCCTTGTAACCTGTATCTTGCGCGTGCTGTAGAGCTCTGCAGATGCATTGGGTTGTTTCTCGCATGTGCACATGTTCCATACTCCCCCCCCAGAGCCCATCCAGCAGCAGATGTCCGATGCCACGGTCTTGTTCGCATGAGCCATTGCTGATGGGGGGGGACGCCTTGTTGCCTCCCTGTGTTGATGTGTTTTCCTTCGTGTCTTTGCGATCAGCAGCAGATGCAGCAAAACGAAAATTCCACAATTGTAGCCGTCTGTTTGTTGCAGCCCAGTTGACACACATGCCCTCCATGCCGTGTCGTCACAGTGTTCTTGTTGATCGCTAATTGCCTCGGTGATAATCGTCGCCATGAGTGATGCTAGGTCCATTCGCTGTGCGCCCCCCAATTGAAACTGTGCCTCCCTTTGGCTTCTGACTGTCCCCAGGTCTCTCTCAAGGGCCGTGCTAAGCGAGTCGACGATGTGTATGCTTTTTGTGTTAACATCTGCCACGATTAGGATCCAATGATTGCCGTTCTCTACGCAAGGGAATAAGAATGGTTGAGCTGCCCCGGCTAGCAGTCGTTTTGCTCTCCGTGCCCTTCCCTCCTGATCTCTCAAACCCGCTACTATTCTCGGGAGAACAATGGTCCCTCTCTGCAGCCCAAATTGGTTTCTAGTTTGCTCGCTGGCATACCTCGTGCCTTGGAGCCATGCTATTTGAAATCTGTCTTCCGCTGGTTCTAAATTTCGGTTTACCTCAACGATTAATGCCTCCATAACGTCCTCAGAGAGAAATCCATCTTCTCCTGAGTTGAGCAGCGCCGCTGCTCCGTACTCTCTATTGTTTTCCCGTAGACTCCAGGGGATCTCCCCTATCAAGTCGAATGTTTGTATTTTTCTGTTTTTTTCTGTTTTTTTCTTGTCATTGTTTTTCTCACCTTCTTGTCTCTTTCTGCTTGATTCCACCACGCCCTGGTGCCCACTGTCCCACCTGCCCTCAACTCCTCCTCCTCCTCCTGCTTCCATTAGGCTTGCGCTGCTGGGAAGGAGTCAAGCGACATCTCTTCCGATTCTGCCGCCATGCTCCCAGCCTCGGGTACATCTTCCATTCGAGCGTCTTTCATCTGTAGCTCACTGCTCAAAACAAATTTCAATTCGTTTCTATCTCCCAGCATTCCTACGAGGGAGAGCGCCGTCAAAGCAATGAAGAGGAGATCAGTTTTCAATGGCTTCTCTTCATTTGGTGCGAAAGCGCTGTTCTTCCGAGCCTTGCGTTTCGCTACCTTCCACGTATGTTTGCCTGCAATCACCCTGACTCGTTCACGCAGTCGCTTGCTCACGGCATTCTCTGCCGCGTTGGCCCCCTTATCAGCCCACTCTTGTAGCGTGGGGAAGGATGCATTTCCTGGGCTCTCCGGAGCCATCTCTTGCACCGCGTCATCAAGATGGAGTTGAAGCTGCCCTTGCTGTTGCAGCTCGCTCCTAGTTACGTCAGCAATTGCTTCCTTAAGTTCTACGACGACCACGTCCGTTCCCGCATCTGGGAGGTTTATTTCATTGATAATGGAACTGAGCTCGATCTCTTTCCACACAGTTCCTTCTGCTCTGGTCCCCGTCGTTTGTGACCTGGCCTCAGGGTTAGACTGATCGCGAGTTGCCTGAGGCGACACTTGGAGGTTCAGACTGCTCGCTGTCGTTTGGATTTCAACTGTGCCTTGCCAGCAGAGGAGCTGTGTGGGGAATTCAGCCATCATCTTTCTTGCACTACTTTCACTGCGTAGCCGGAGAATGATACCAGACCCATCCCAGATCCCTGTTTCTGGATCGCATTGGAGGTGGATCCGTTGGAGATCTTTTTCCACCTGTGGATCAAAGCAAGCGACAGCCCTCCGAATGTTTCGGATGACTTTTGCTCTGCCCGTTTCATCACTTGCGCAGATTTTTTCAATCTCATTTCGGGAGAACTTCCCTGACGGCACAGGAGAGGAGATTTGTACCGAGTACAGCATCTCTGCTCCCGTTGCCATTGCCGTGCCCTCTTGTCGCACCGCATTCTTCATATTCTTGTGCAGCGCCGTTGCTTCCATCTGCACTGAGAACCATTTCAGTATTTTGTCATTCTCTGAGACCAGTCCCAAAGTGACTCCTGCACGATCCTTTCCATGTCGATCAAATGCTTGAAGAACGATGTCCGCTGCTTCAAGGCTCGAGCACGTTGCGATCCAGTCGACCTCTCTGTTCTGGTTGACTGTTTCTATTCCTACCGCAGCGAACACCTTCTTTGGCGGTAGGTTCCTCTTGGGGGGGAGGTTCACTGTCATTCCCGCGTTTGGGATCAGATCAATGATCGCTAATCCCTGCTTCAGGCATAGTTGCCTGTAGATCTCACATATGTCACCTGTGCTCGAATCGTTGAGCATCAGGAGTTGGGCCACCTCAGCTAGGATTCCAACTCTGCCCATGTTCTCCTTCTTTGGCCGCATCTTGAACGAGATCGGTGGGTTGGCTGCTGGGTTCACTGCTAGGATCCTCCTGCCTGCCACCTTGAAGGTACCTTCTCCTTTCCAGAGTTTCTCAGCCGCCTCATTGCGGACAAATGTGATCACTGCTGGGATCTCCGCTGCCTGCACAAGGTCAGGCTTCAAGGGAGCCTTGAAGATCAGGCTCCTGCTGTCTTGCGTCTGATCGACGATCAAGCCTTGCTCTTCAAGCTTGAGGCATAAGTTTTCCACCTGTCTGGAAAAGTACCTTCATGGTAATCGTCTGCACACTTGTGCCCTGGTCATCATATGATCTGGCCTCATATGATCTGGCCTCCATCTGCCTTTGTCTGTCAGCTTGGAACTCTGACAGGTACCACTGCCTGACATCGTCACCCCACTCTCCAGTGACGAGGGTTCAGCAAAGCTGCATGTCTGACTGATGGCTTCGGCTAAGGCTTCCAAGGATATTTCTTTGGCTTTCAGAGCTTTGCTCGTCCTGCTTTTGGGGTTCTGCCTTGCGAATTCATCCAGTCTCCGCATCAGTTCGGCTGATGACGGCATCGTGGCAGCTTCCGTCTGCCTCTTGAGGTAGCTGGAGGTACGGTACTGCACGATCTCGTCAGGGTTCACAATAGATATTGGCCACATGTTTCGAAGCATTCTCGATGGTTTCCCGAGCTTCCTGCGTTCCTGGCGACTCTTGCTCTACCACGCAGGGACCCCGCTGATCTGCATGCCTCAGATAAAGGGATCCTCTGCATGCCTCAGATAAAGGGATCCTCTGCATGCCTCAGATAAAGGGATCCTCTGCATGCCTCAGATAAAGGGATCCTCTGCATGCCTCAGATAAAGGGATCCTCTAAACCCTAAACCCTAAACCCTAAACCCTAAACCCTAAACCCTATTTATTATTATTATTATTATGTGAGTTTATTAGAATGCTAGAATGTTGCTCGGCCTCGTTGTGGGCTTTTGCAATTTGATCCTAGTCTAATGAGGCGCTCGAGCACTGGGAGTACACGGCCTACAATGCGAACCCTGCTTCTGAGGCGTCTTTCTACTCTCTACTTCTGCTGTCTTCTCTTGGCTTCCTCAGCCTCAGTCAGGAGAGTTGCCTCTCCTCACCTTGGCCTTCGGTCACCACCTACTCTACCTCCATTCAGCTTCCTCAGCCTCAGTCAGGAGAGTTGCCTCTCCTCACCTTGGCCTTCGGTCGCCACCTACTCGTCCTCCATTCAGCTTCCTCAGCTTCAGTCAGGAGAGTTGCCTCTCCTCACCTTGGCCTTCGGTCGCCTCCTACCTTCTCTCCTTACCTTGGGCTCAGCTCAAGCTCGGTACGGGCTCGCCCCGTCTTCTTCCTCGCCCTCGCCTTGCTCTTCCTCCATGTCTTCCTCTTCTTCGCCATCTTCCCTCATCTCCACTCGCAGTCGGTCCTTCTTGTCCACCTTCAGCGAGCAGGCCAGCACATGCATCTCTGCGAATTTACTCAGTGCTATGAACAGGAGGCTAAGAGATCGACGCTCTATGTCGTCGCTCTCCGCCTCCTGCTCAAGCTCAGCAGCTGCCGTTGCCCGTGGCGAGAACGCGCTGCCCCTCCTTGCCTTCTTGCTCTCTCCTTGCACGCGAGTCCAGCGCTTGCTCTGCAGCCACTTCCCCAGCTTCTCCTTGAGCGCGTTGCGCCCAACTCCCTGCTCCTCTGGCATCTTCGCCCACTCTCCCAGCGACATGAACTCCAGGCTCCCCGGAGAGTAGAAGGTGTCGTGGAGGTTGCCAACGGCCTTGTCCAGGACCAGCTTGATCGGCTCGCTCGTCCCTGCCTCGTTCAAAGAAGCTGCATCTTCGATGACTGCTGACAGCTCGCTGACGAGCTGCATGTCCTCTTGGCTTGACGGAGATGCTGCCTCCATTGTGATCCTCTCCAGGTCTGTAAACTCCAGCCACTCTCCCTCGCTCTCCTCCTGTCGCTGCGCTGCGTCGCTGGTGCCCCGCTGACCAGCCGCCTCAGAGTCAGGCTCCTTGTCGAAGCCGACTGCTTCGAGCTTGGTTGCTGCGCCTTCGAGATAGAAGGGCAGCTCCTTCATCATGCGTCGAGCATCCTCCGTGGAGCCGAGGAGGATGCATAGCTTGGACCCGTTCCAGGACTTGGTGTTCAAATCCTCCTCCATGTCGATGCCTTCAACGTTGATCTCGAGCCTGTTAGCGATCTCCAACAAGACTCTCTTGACTCTTGCGATAGACGTGTTGCCGCCGTTGCACAGCCCCTCCATCTCCTTCCTCGTGAAGCGACCAGATGCCGCCGTCGACTTGATGATGATCTTGATCTCCTTGCCGTCCTTGCCGCCTGCCTTCTTCTGCATCCTTGATGCCTTCGGTATTGGCGTGGTGAGCTCCAACGGCAATCGAAATGCCTTCTTTTCCATTAGCACCCCCACGTACCGTGATACAGTGAAATGCACGGGTATGAGAGAATCTTTCGGTCCTCTACCCCTCCAGACAAAGGAAGTCACTAGGGTGGAGGCTGATTCGAGACGCCTGTCGAAACCACTTTAAAAGAATAGTACAGACTGTACCAGAGGCACTTCATCCGTACATGTGTATGATTGAAGCGCTGACTAAACAATTAAAATGAAGTGCTTCAAAAAGTAAGGCCGGGGGGACAGGGTACCACGCCAGTATAATTCAAATCACCCCACCCTACTTTATCCCTGTCTCACTACCCCCCAGTAAGAGAGCAAAAACCGGGGTAGCTGAATGGAAGTGTATATATGAACCCCTTCCCAAGGAGAAAAAAAAAGACCAATTTTGCTAGAGCCTGCATATGGCCTTGTGAACGGCATGGGCTGGATGGAGTGTCCGGCGGCCTGCTTTTGAGTCCGGCGGCCTGTTTTTGAGTTCGGCGGCCTGTTTTTGAGTCCGGCGGCCTGTTTTTGAGTCCGGCGGCCTCCTAAACCCTAAACCTCTAAAACCGTCCAAGGCGGGGGAAGGGTTCCACGCCAGAGGAATTCAAATCATCCCACCCCGCTTATGTCCAGTCTCTCTACCCCCCCCCCCCCCCCCCCTTTGATCCGGCCGGTGAAAACAGGGGGTAGTCAACAGGGAGTGTGTATACGGACCCCATGTGAACCCCAAAAAAAGTAGAAAAAAAAAAAAAAAAAAGACCAGATTTGCTAGGGGCTGCATATGGGTTTGTGAACCGTGAACGGCATGGGCTTCCCCTACACCTGGCGAGGAGCCATGCTGCCAAAACTGAAATAACGGCGCTGCTGCCGAAAATAACGGCGCTGCTGCCGAAAATAACGGCGCCTAAACCCTAAACCCTAAACCCTAACCCTAAACCCTAACCCTAAACCCTGAACCCTAAACCCTAAACCCTCGAGGAGACGATCCACTCGACCTCCCTCTGTCTCCAGATCTTGCTGGCCCCCTGGCCCAGCGACCAGCCTGGCATGCGCAGCAGCTGATAGCGGTAGACGTCAGCAATCTCTGCTGTCGTCCTCTCTTGGCTCGAATCTTGAAAGATCGATCGTGCACGATGCTCACATGTACATCTGTGAACTTGCGACCATCGATCGTGAAGTCCTCTCTTCCCTGCCAGAGCTTCTCCGCTTGTGCATTGCGGAGGAAGGAAACAGTACGGTCACCGGGATCTCATCAGCACTCGCTATCTCGGATCTATACGGAGCCTTCCACATGATTGCTTTACTCTCTTGCACTGAGTGTACGATCAGTCCGAGGAGAGTCATGCAGATGACGTCGTGCCTGCTGACCGGGCCGTACATGTCGAGCGGATGGCTCAGTTCTGCGATGAGTCATAGCGTCGGGGGTGCATCCCTCCACAGCCGCGGGGGCTTGCAAGCCTGCCAGCTGAGCTGTCCTACTGTTAGGAAAACGCTTCGCGAAGGCCTCTTCACCCTCTCGACGAGGTCGTATTGGCATGATCTCCAATACAGCATGTTGCAAGTTGCGAACTTTCATCATACTGAAGAACCATACTAGGCTTAGTCGGAAAGCTGTTTGAAGTATATGGGCTAAACCTTTGGAAAAGGTTATGATCGGATGTTCCATAGTCCTCCGGTCTGAGCCGCCGGTGCCGCCGCCCGGCCTCCGCGGCCGGGCCCGGCTAACCCTAAACCCTAAACCCTATTATTATTATTATTATTATTATTATTATTATTATTATTTGAGTTTATTAGACTCTTAGTCAAGACCCTAAACCCTCCGCCGGTGAGTCAGTAGTGATCATCCGATCCTTTTTTTCCCACAATTAACTGAAGTTATCAGTTAAGCAAGTTTAAGTAAAACTACTTGAAGAGTCTGGTCGGGCCGAATGAAAACCGCGACGGTTCATGGCGCACCTTTAGTAAACCCACCCCTACATGTAATGAAGTACCCCTGGCTGCCTAGCATGAATACCCCCTATCTCATATTTGACTACCCCAGCCTTTAGAGATCCTACCCACCTACCAAGGAAGTAGCGTTTAATATAACCCCACCCTCCGGTTCTTTGACGATCCCAACTCGAACGAGCGGTGCGAGCATGCAGGCGAGAGGAGAGGAAAGACATGGAACCGCAGCGACCGAGAAGGAGGAGATGGTAGAGAACATCAATGAAGTCAAGGAAGAGAAAGATGCAAAAGAAGAGAAGAGATGCGAGGAAGTTAAGGATAGCTAATTATCAGAAACCGAAGGATTGATGGTTCAGGTGACTGCAAAACCAATAAGATCAGAAATTGAGGAATGAGAGAGAGAGAGAAGCATTTCAATGAGGAATGAGAGAGAGAGAGAGAGAGAGAGAGAGAGAGAGAGAGAGAGGAGCATTTCAATGAGGGATCGGCCGAGGCAAGAGAAGGTGAAATTGGAAAGTTGCTCAGGGTGAGGATGGTGTTTGAATGGAAGGGAGGGCGGGTTGGTTAGGCACTGTGCGACAAGATGTTTCTGGACTCCAAAATACAGTGAAGTCCAATGATGAAGAGTGATGTAAGTGGGAAACCGAGACATTGAAGGTCGAAGGGAATGTTGTAGTTCCAGAGAAATATGACGAGGGGCAAAGCGACCAAGGATACAGAGTGATCAAGCGTGCGAGAAAACAAAAAAAATCAGCAGAAGGACAGCAAAGGAGTTTTAAGATGCGATATCGATAATTAAGCTGGTTTCTATCCTAATATATATGATAGCCAAAGTAAGGCAGGAAAATTGAGCCACATAGAAACAAGAACATGGTGGATATGACGGCAGACAGATTCATTGAAAGGGAGGATATTGTTGTAGGGGACCGATCGGGAGGATTCGAGAATAGATTTGAGAGATACAAGTGGAAGTGTTGTCAGTTACAGAGAAAACTCCGGATTTGATGATGAGTTGGAACTTCGAATACAAGTTGCCTGAAACGCCCTTGGATACAACATCAACTAAAGATAGTTTTTTCTTATCCTCAAATACCTCTGAACCGCATGCTGTAAATCTGGATGCAATGGACTGACAAAAAAGCGTCAGGTTTATTGACGAACACTGACACAAAAGCGTCAGGTTCATTGACGAACAGAGTGCTTCACGCTGGTCCAACGTACCTGGCGCTGTTCCCACGCAACTTAAGGAATCTGCTGATCGGACGTCACTTAGAGCATGGACATGCCGTCACATCATGGTCGCCCTGGGCATCCGAGTGCAGCCTCGTGATTGCAGCTTGCCAAGCTCTGGCGTGTGGGCATGAGCATTCTTTATTCATTCGTCATAGCAGAGCAGTCGGCAGCTGCCCAGCTCGAGTCTCTTGGAGAGGTGACGAAGAGAACCTAGATGGCGGGGTTGATAACTTTCCCTTCAAACCTCAGGAAAATGAGCGAATCCGAGAGGTCAGAGAAGGACAACGAACTCTTGCACCTGCGTCTCTCCGACAGCCTGCAAGCCAAGGTTCGCAGCCCTACAGACTTTCACACAGGAGACGAGGATCCGGCTTCTTGCACTTCAAGGCTGAATGTGGTTTCCCTCCACCGAGTAAGCCCCTGCCGCTCGGACGGCTCTTGTGACAAACCCATGCAGACAAGACGACGGCTGCTGCAAGAATCGCCTGCGAGACGTGGCACGAGCTTTGCATCACCCTCGACTCATGCGCGGGTCTTCTTGCCATCGAAGGCGTCAGGTCGCCTTGCTTGGTGGGGGCCATCAATCTGAAAGTCTGAGCAGGCGAGAAGAGGATGGGCACGTGGAGTGCCAGGTGAGAAGCAGAGCGACGAGCAAGGGCGACGAGACTGACCCAACTCAGGAGGAGATGGAGGAGAGGAAAGAACAGAACTTCGTCATCTTCCGACTCAACTGCTGTCGTTTCCTCTGCCACTCGCGCGACTACGTGATGCAGGTCAGCGTCATTCCTCGAGCCTGCCTCGGCATCATCGCTCCATGCAGGTCGACGACGAGAGTCTTGAGAGGCTCAAAGCTGGTCTTGCAGCACGGGTAGAGATTTCATCTGTCCTGATCCTCTTGTTCTTGTTCATGTCTTGCTCCTTGTGCCTCTGGCTTGTCTCTCCATCCCTCAAAATCTTGCTGCAGGGGCTTCCTGTAGTCTCGCCGGAGAGGGGGCGAGCGGCGCTACGGCAGACATTGTGAGCTGCTTGCATGAGACCGTTGTGGCTGTCGCTGACTGACTGCCAGTCTGCACATTGGGCAAGCTATTCGTGTGATTACCAACCGCTCCTTTCCTCTGGTGACCTCCAACTCTCCCCTCCAGGTGTTGTGACCGAGCTAAGGGGTACCCGCAAAGTTGATGCGTGCACAGGGCACTCCGTGTGTTCGCCTGTTTGGGCAGGACGTGAATGGATATGATGTACAGGTGAGGATCAGAGCCGGCAAGGGAGGAAGCTGATGACCAGCTGCAGGTTCTCATCGCGATCTTCGATCAGGACATGAGGTTTGAGTTGACTCGAGGGCTCCTCATTAGTGGCTGCCTCGAAGCTTCTCCAGAGGCCTTCAAGGTTGTTCTTCTTCCCTCCCTCCCTCCCTCCTCCCCCTCCCCCTCCCTCTCCCTCCCTTAATCCATGCATCCCTCCCTTCCCCCCTCTCTCCCTCTCCCCACCCACCAATCCCTCCCTCCACCTCTCTCTCCCTCCCTCCATCCCTCACTCACTCACTCACTCACTCACTCACTCACTCACATTTCCATTGTCCGTACCCTTTGTAAAATTCCTCACACCTCCCATTATCCTGCAAGGCATTTACGCGCTTTCAAAACTTGTCCTTTTGATGGTTTTTTTACGCCGCATTTGTGCTTTCAAAACTTGTCTTTTTGATGGCGTTTCCCTAACTTGTAAGCGCTGGTACTGCAGGAAATCATCGGGCCGATCGAAGACTCCCTCTATCAACTGCCGCTGGAGGACATCATGCAAGGAGAGCATGCTCATACGGGGAAAGAGCCGGGGGCCGGTGAGCATGCAGAAGAGGAGGCAGATCTCGCACCGAATGAGGATGACGGAGCTCAAGAATCTGCTGAAGTCTCGAAAGAAAATAAGGAGGCGACGGAAGAAAACAAGGAGGCGACGGAAGAAAACAAGGAGGCGACGGAAGAAAACAAGGAGGCGACGGAAGAAAACAAGGAGGCGACGGAAGAAAACAAGGAGGCGATGGAAGAAAACAAGGAGGCGACGGAAGAAAACAAGGAGGCGACGGAAGAAAATAAGGAAGCGGTGGAACCAGATCATCGGCAAGGAGTGGGGGATGCCAGCCGAGCGAGAGGCGACGTGCGGGTGGATGAGGTAAGAGAGCTAGTGAGCATGACGGCTGTGAATCACTCGCCTGCTCCTGCTCTTGTGGATGCAACGAGGGAACATGAGGATGAGAATGTGCTGAGAAAGGAAAGGCCGTCAGAAGAGAGGATGCGGCTTGCTGAGAGCTTCCACCAGATCGAGCAAGACCTGCAGTTCATCAAAGACGACCTTCTGCTTCTTTTCCACCAAAGTCGGCTTGAGGCAGCGTATGCACAGGAAGAGGCTCGAGTGGAGGGAGAGAGAGTGGAGACGCTAGTGGAGGGAGATGAGAAGAGGAAAGGCAAGGACGAGCATGAGGAGGAGGCAAGAAAGCGAAACGAGGCTCCTCAACAGTTTCGAGTCGTGGAGTCAGTGATGAGGGTTGGCGACGTTCAGCAGCATGCGAAGGGCAGAGGCCAAGGGACGGACAACGAGCGGCGGGATGAGGGAGAGGTAGGAGGGCACGTGAAGCTTGTCTCAGCAGACTCGCCGAGCTCTTCGCCTGCAGCTGGTGAGCAGAGGGGTTCCACTGTTGCTTGCTGCAGGTTGACGAAGGACGGGACAGGCTCCAAAGGGTCCTCCTCCCTGTCCACCACCTCGCGAGGAGGAGCCGTCGAGCTTGAAATGGAACTCGCGCAGCGGCTCCTCCTCACAACGCACAAGATTCTCTCCATGGCGCACCAACACACGTCCCCAGATGTCGCTAAAACAGCAGGCGTGCTGCTCGGCTCCTCCCCCCTCCAGCCTGACAACATCCACACAGACAAGGGGAGAAAAGACCACGAGGTTGACGAGGAGCCCAGCAAGAGCTATGTGAAACAGCAGTACGCGAGCAGTGCAATGGGAGCGCATTTCATCGACAGAATGGAAGCGAACGGGTGGGCAGATAAGGAGCAGTGCCGGCATACCTCCCCCTTCAAGCACTCGTGCTTGACTAACGGCGAACTCAAGTCTCGTCTGGCGTACGCGAGGACTTTCTTGCAACCAAGCGACGGTAGGGAGCGATAAGGAGAGAAGCAGTGGGCGAGTGTAAGGCGAGATGGATACGGGTGGGGGTGGGGGGAGGTTGTCGAGTAGAATGAGGTTGAATCCATGAGGTAGATGGTTGTGCTTTGAGAGTGTGAAGGTAGTGGGAGGTGGTCGAGGAGGAAGGATGAAGACGAGGACGAGGAGGAAGGACGAGGACGAGGAGGAAGGACAAGGTCGAAGAGGAAGGACGAAGACGAGGAGGAAGGACAGGGTCGAAGAGGAAGGACGAAGACGAGGAGGAAGGACGAGGACGAGGAGGAAGGACGAGGACGAGGAGGATGTGTTGATGGTCAGTGGTCACGGTTGAGCCATTGGTGACTTCACATTTCCCAGTTCCTTACACGACGGCGTCGAACTCACGGGCGCCGGGGAATGGGAAGTCTGGGCAAGGAGGGGGCGGAGGGGAGACGGGGGACGAAGCGAGAGGGCAGCTTCCATGGAAGAGCAGGAACTATCGCCCTGCCTCCATCGCCTCTCGTCCTTCGCACAGCCATGCTGTAAACTAGCTTAGTAAACTTCGGCTCTCACAGTCAGTGACTGATGCTACATCATGTTGACTCCAACTATCAACCCATCATGCAGTATCATGGCCGTAACCCATCATGAGTATCATGGCCGTCACGTTGAAGCATAACGATGGCACCGGCCCGGCGGGAGTACTCATGCCGCATTACAGGGAGCGCCGGGCCCGCCGGCCCGTGCGGCCGCCGAGTCGGAACTGAGCTCTACTATTGAAGCACCGGTCCGATCTAGGGTGTGAAGGTCTTATAACCACCGGTACTCAGGCTCAAAGGCTTGGGTGCCGTCGGGAAGCCACGCTTTGTACCTGCTCCACGATAAGTAAAACATTTACTCATTAGGGCTTGTTGCGTACGGAATTCGAGGAAAGCGCGTGCAGAGGAGAGGAAAAATGGCGGGAGGATGGAGGACGCTGCAGTGAGAAGGGGAGAAGGGGAGAATACGAGAGAGAGAGAGCTGGATGTTCTGAAACGATCGGAGAGAGATGAAATGAGATGAGATAAGAGATGAGATGAGTGCAATCAAGGGGCGAGAAGAGAATATGAATGCATAAAAGCAAGTCATGTGCTCCGCTTTTCCATCATTTTTGGGCAGCAATTGAGGTCATGAAAGCATGCGAGACGGGAAGCGTTTTATCTCTATGTCTTTGCGCACAAGAGGGGATCGGATGGATGAGTACAGACAGCTAAAGGCTTGAAAGGATCCCAGGACAAGATGGGGTAGCTCGGAGGAGAAGGTGGAGCAGGAAGCTTTGATAGCTCGGAGGAGAAGGTGGATCAGGAAGCTTTGATAGCTCGGAGGAGAAGGTGGAGGATCAGGATCAGAAAGCTTCGATAGCTCGGAGGGATTCTGCGCTAACTCCGTCGAGTGGCATGCTCCCTCGGTCAGGAAGAGCTCGTTTGGATATTGAGACTATAGACAGAAAAGATGAGCAGTAAACAACAAGTTCTTTCTGTACAACATCCGTGTATATTGTGAAAGGGAATATGATATCTTTCCTATCGATTTGATATTGTGTTTATGGTCTTAATACCGTCAAAACCTTTTTGCTGTGCCCCGCTTATTTATTTCGATGTACCTCCCTCCTCCCCCGTATGCTTGGCATTATAAGGTGCGACGCGTATGCGTGAGTGAAAATGTTGCATGTGCATGCAACATTTTCTGTCTATTCGTTAATGTACATCGTATCAAAATCGTGCATTAGCCGGCTTTTCGATTTTTAATTCAATTCACGAATTTGACTTTGTCTTCCGTATCTTGACAAAATCAGACAAGTTCGATGTCGCGAATTTACGGTAAGAGTGTAAACAGAGAATAAAATTTGGCCTCGACTCGCTTACCAGATTTGCAGTTGGGAACCTTCCACTTGACATTCGCACTCGAGACGTTGAGGATCTGTTCTACAAGTATGGAAGGTTGCCAACGATGTGCAAGGCGAGAACGAGAATGACGGGAAACTGATAGGATCCGGGATATCGATCTCAAGACTCCTTCCAGGTGCATTTCCTTGCATTGTGACTTATTTTCTTGTAATTTGTATGCACAGACCTCCTGCTTTCGCATTTGTCTCCTTCGAGTATCCCGAAGACGCTGAAGACGCTGTGAGAGGTCGAGGTAAGGGCTTCGAGTGCTTTCTCGCCGCAGCTGATGCCTCAGCAGATGGCGTCATGTTTGAGGGCCAGAGGCTGCGCGTGGAAATGTCGCGAAGCAGCCAAGATGGGTACGTAGAATGGGGAGGGAGTTGGGTTGGAAAGGAGGAAGACGGAGGCAGGGCTGTGTGCGCACTGACTGATTGATCTGGCTATGAAGGCGCAAGTCACAAGCAGGAAATCGTGCTCCTCCTCGAGACCTCCGGCGATCGGATCATCGCATCATCATCTCCGGCCTCCCTCCGTCCGCCTCGTGGCAGGTGAGCTGAATGAAAGCTGGAAGCTGTCTCACCACGCCCTTGCAGGATCTGAAGGATTTCTTCCGGTCTGCTGGAGAAGTCATCTTCAGTGACGTCGATCGCCAGGTGGAGGAGGCGTTCACGGGTGGTTTTCTCACACTCTCCAGGGGGGCGGAATCGTGGAGTTCGCCAACAAGTCCGACCAAGAGTACGCTATCTCCAAGGTGAAACATGCTGCTGCCTGGAGTCTTGCTGACGTCGACGCATGCGCTCCTCTCCTGTTGTCTTTCCTGTTTGTTATCTCTCAAGTTCGACGATACCGAATGGCGCAACCCGAGGTAAGCAGTAGTAGGATGGAGGAGTAAATGTGGAAAGAGAGGCTGATGGAAGAGCAGGAGCTATATCTCGGAAACCAGTTACATTCGCGTGAAGAAGCCCAAGGACCAGCCGGACGATGTGAGGGATTTCCTGCATGATGTTGGACCCTCACTTGTCCTCAAGGATCGCGACCGCAGCAGGAGCCGAGATCGCAGCCGAGGACGCGACAGGTGTGACTCGCTTCTCCTCTCCTTGTCTTGCATATCTGCTTCATTCTCATCCTTGTATAACAGTCGCTCGAGGAGCAAATCCAAGTCGCGGGACAAGGCGGCAAGGTGAGAGGGAGTGAGGAGAGAGTTGATGCTGGGACTCAATTCCGGACTGGGAGGGGGGATGGGGAGAAAGAATGTTCAAACTCAACCAAGCTCGGAATGCCTGCTGGAGGATTCGAGGAAGGAATGACTAACTTGCTGCAAGGTCTCGCTCCCGCTCCCGCTCCAGGAGCCGCTCAGCCGCTTCTCCGCGCAAGGAACGGACCCCCCCACCTGCTGAGGCTTGAGAGCCCATGACTCGAACCGTTTCAGTTTATCCGCCCGGCCTGTGTCGCCGTGATGCATCCAGCAGTTCGCAAGCTCATTGACAGTGAGAGTCCTACACCAGGCTCTCAGTCGACTCAGTCACTGCGTCTGTGACGACGGCGTTGAAGTGAAGGGCCAAGCTCTGACTTCGGCGGCCAAGCCGCCGGCACTGAGAGTGACGTACCTTAACATCGCCTCGGTCCAACTCAGTAAATTGACAGTCACTGAGTTGTGACGTCGTTGACCGCCTGGGCCCTCCGATCCTCGGCGAGAGCCTTCGAACCGTACGGTGCCAACCGTAGGCTCAGGCCGCGCGGCCGCCGCATGATTGCCACGGCGTTTGACTGTACGTTGAAAGTTTCAAGTTTTGAAGAGTGTCACTCTTCAAAAAGTTTGTTTGAAACATTCCGCATACAAAACTTCCAAACTTTCAAGGGTTGCACCGACGGGTACTGTAGCCCTGCAATCTGTTGGAATGGGTACCGGTTCGCATCTGCAAAGGGGTGGTGATACCCCCCACCCCTCCAACCCCAATTATTTGAGCCTGAGTACCCCCATTTTCGACCTAATAATCACCCCCTCTTAGTACCCCACCCGAGGAACATCAACATGGTGTTGCCCTTTCAACTGTATGAGTACCCCTACCCTAGTATTTGCTTCAAACCTGAGACATGACCCCTCATTTTGAGTATATTGATTAGGATTTTTTATGGGTCTGCATGGAGTTTAGACTACCCTACCCATCATTTTTTCAGTTACCCTAGATGACCCCTACCCCTATCAATCATACCACCCTTCCTTGTGTCCTTCCCGTTACGACCTGCGCTTACTTCCGCGATGGCTTCTTGGCTCACTGCGACGATGGCGGCGGCGATGGCGGCGATGGCGGCCTCGAACCCTTCGTGCTCGCCCTCGTCCTCGTCCCCTCTGTCGCTCTCGTCTCAGCTTTCCTCCTTGAGAGCGTCAGCTCCCCTTCCTTCATCAGCTTTCCTTACTTCCCGAGCAGGCGTAGCCGATGAAGTGCGCGCTCCGCTGCGACTGCGAGGAGGCATGCTCGAGCGTTTGAAGGAAATGATGGGAGGCAAGTCGGCAGAAGATGGACTTGATGAGAATGGCCACTACACCCTGGTGCTCGTTCGACATGGGGAGTCTCAGTGGAACAAGGAGAACCGCTTCACAGGATGGGTGGATGTTCCCCTCGCTGAGACTGGAATCGACGAGGCCAAGAGAGCAAGCAACAGCCTTAAGAGCGAAGGATTTAGCTTCGACGTCATGTTCACCTCCCTTCTTCAACGCGCCATCAAGACTGGCTTGCTCATATTGGAAGACCTCGGCCTCCTTTGGATCCCTGTGGACAAGGACTGGCGACTCAACGAGCGCCACTATGGAGCTCTCCAGGGATTGAACAAGAAAGAAACTGTGGAGAAGCATGGCAGTGAGCAGGTGAACCTCTGGAGACGCTCCTACGACACCCCTCCTCCTCCCATGTCGCCTGACAGCCCATACTGGGCGGGTAATCAGCCACAGCACAAAAGCCTGAAGGACCTTCCAAGCACTGAGTGTCTCAAGGACACTGTTGCTCGAGTCCTGCCGTGGTGGAAGGAAGTTTGTGCTCCAGCGATCAAGAGTGGCAGGAAGGTCCTTGTGGCAGCTCACGGGAACTCCCTCCGAGCTCTTGTCAAGTACCTCGACGGTCTGAGCGACGAGGAGATCTGCTCTCTCAACATCCCCACCGCCATCCCCCTTGTCTACAAGCTCGACAAGAACCTCAAGCCCGTGAGGGCTGAAGGCGCTTACGCTCCTCTTTCCGGCCGCTACCTCGGTGACCCGGAGATGGTCAGAAATGCGATCGAAGGCGTGGCGAACCAGACCGGAAAGAAGTGAGGGGACGAGGAGGAATGAGAAAGAAGCTGTAAGCGATGGAGACATCGAGGAAGAAACGACTCAACCTCGTCATCCTTGCAGTGCGATGAAGACGACGAGTGGAAGACGTGGACGTAAGGAGAGACGACACTCAGTTGTGTATCGAACATGCTTACAAATTTCACTGTTTTAATCATTCTTCGTGCTCACTCAAAATCTTTACCCTCCAACACTCTCCAGCACCTCGCTCAGCTTTCCTGCAGCCTCCTTGAAACAAGCCATCATGTGCTGTCCCAATACCTCCAGCTTCTTCCGCTGAACTCCCGACTTCCTCCAGTAGGCGATTTTTCCTCGGAACTGCATGTCGCTCTTATGCGATTGCAGCAGCTGCTCGTACGTTCGCTCATCACCAAGAAGCTTTGAGAAAGGCCGCACTCTCTCGGGTTGATACTTGACCATCACGTCGAACTTCTCCGGAGTTACTGGCTCGAACGAGTAGATGGTTCGAATGTTCCTTCCCCAGCAGTCATCCTCCTTCACAACCGTATGCCTGTAGATACTGGGAACATGTTGCTTGGAGCTGCCGTAATTGTCCAGTCGTACATAGAAATCACATGTTTCGTTAAGACCATTGCAGAAGTAATATACAACGATACAGAACATGTCGATCTCAGTCGAAGGGATCGGAAGGTCATTTGACGCTAGCCTTGCCATGAACTCCTCAGTATGCAACCCGAAGATTTCAGCATAGTCAGCTCCAAGCGAGCATCTTATTCGCTCCCCACTCTCCGGGTTGAAGGTAAAGCACAAGAAGCGCTCGTGCCCCAACATTCTGCTCACGTGAGCAATCTCCGCCTCAGCATCATCGAAGACGAGCGAGAAGAGGTGCTGCTGTTGCATTGAACGAGGATGCGGGGCGGCGATTTGACCTCGCATCTTCTGTAAATGCAGAATGTACCTCTTGCTCAGCACCTCGCAGCCCTCATTGAAGGCTGCCTTCATCACGGGTGGCATGTTGAGAATTATACTCATGAAGTTGTCTGGGTTCAGACCGACCTCCCAAATTCTTCGAAGAATCATCGGGTTGATGCCCACGCTCTTTGCGGCCATCAGCACCCGCGTGAAAGCGTCGCTGTCCCGAAAGCTGATACTGCGCGAATGGTACAGCGGCCGCTGCACAACTGCACACGATGGAGCTGAGTTAGGAAGGACTACAGTCGCATCACACGTTGCAGATCGTCCTCGCATTGAACAATTTCCGCAGGGTCGAACCTGGCTGCATTTCAATTTCCGTTTCTTGCAGAAAGAACATGCTCTGGAAAGCATTTTGTCTGAACGATCAATGATTGGAAACGGATTTTGCGCAGGAGAAAGAAAGGTGGGAAAATCTTGTCCACCATCCTGGAAATCTATTTGTTCTCCTCGAGAGATCGCAGAGCCTGCGAGCTGAAATTGGTAATCATGAGCACCGATGTCACACCATGGATCGCCTTGATGTGACCGTTGTTGTAGATTTAACGTCGAGTCTGACGCAACGGCAGACAGCTCACTCGCATCCTCACTCCATTCAGGGGATGGACAGCCATCACTGGCAAAAGATCCCGGCGAAAGTCCAGAGACAGAGGACCCGAGTCCCTGATCCGAGTACCCTTCATTGCTGGACCATGATGGATGCGACGACACACCTACCTGCGGAGTAGTAATGTTTCCAGTCCTCTGATCCAGGTAGCCTGACCCCTGGCTTACTGTCCCCTGCCCTTGATCCAGGTAGCCTGACCCCTGGCTTACTGTCCCCTGCCCTTGATCCAGGTAGCCTGACGCCTGGCTTACTGTCCCCTGCCCTTGATCCAGGTAGCCTGACGCATAATTTATCACATGTAACGAGGCCGGGGCATAAGATGGTTCAGCAACGCTTTGACAGGGTTGCAAATTTCCACCAGTCTCTTGAAAGAAAACAACTGACGTATCATCAACTTGATGCAAACCCTGGAAAGAATGCGAACAAGCATTGCTCAATTCAGGCATCGAATCCTGAGCGTCGACTCTGGCCATGAAAGAAGGATGTCCTCCACTGTAAAAATCATTGCTCATCAGCACATGTGAAGCCGTGGGGTGGGTTGAAAGTATGCTCGCATCATGAACGTTCTGTTGCTCAAGAGCTTGCGCTCGCGATCTGAACCAACTCTCTTCGTCCATCCTTGCTGCCCAACAAGAAACTTGCATCCGGCGCCGCTGTCGCCCACCTGAGTTTGATGAGCATCAGTCACCAATCATAATCTCCTTTCGCTGTAGATCTCCCCACCTCACACTACTTCTCATTCCCTTTCATCCCTCTGGATCGATCTTTCAGTTTTGCATTGTTTCATTGCTATGTATAAAAGACTTTCCCCCTGAATACATTCTTGATACATTCTTGGTCCAATTCTGTTCCAGCCCTCCCCCATGCCCTCCTCTCCCCTCCCGCCATATCAAACCTCTTCGATACCTCTTCGACTTCCTCGCATTGGTCAACATCGTTCCTCGTCATCCTGGTCCTCTTGTCTTCTCCTCTACTCCCTCACTGCCTCCATTGCTTCACATCCCTTCGCCTCTCTCTCCATTTTCACACAACCCCTGCCTGGCTTCTTAATTCTTACATCCACCCCCACTACAGCACACCGCCCTCTACCCCTACCCCCTCTACAAACCGAGATATACCCCACCCTTCAACATAAACGACACGCTCTGTATTCCCCCACCACCCCTTCGGCGTTCCTCCTAAATCTAATAATATAATGATATATAATATTATTATTACCCCTACCCCCTCTGTCGTATCAACCCAACAATATCCTCCAGTACACCACCCTACCCACCCTTACAATTCCAAGTTCACAAGAAGATCATTGGACTACCCGTGGTACTCTCCTTCGCAGACCACCCCTACTTGGACGCAAACCTGACCCACAACTGAAATCATCAATTTTAAACTTATCTTCTTTACAACTATTTTAGAATTTTATCGCGTGTACCTCTTATGGAGGGGTACTCTATGTGGAAATCTCTGGGGGTGGGGTGGAAAACCTTTCTCAAACTTTTTTTTGGATTGCTGCTCCTGGATACCACCCTACCTCCCACACGACCTTGACTACCCGTGGATCAGCTCAAGAAGTTTTGGCTCAAGGGGGGGTGGTCGTGGGGTAAAGTGGGACAAAAAATTGGGGAAAGCGAAACAACAAATGAGGTACCCCACCCCCTTTGATGCCATATCAGCCCATGACCGGTGGGGGGTTGTTCCCTCACTCGAAGTGAGTCAAGTCATCACCATCTCTGTCCTCTATATTGTTTTTAAAAGATTAAAAATGCCTTTTTACCTGACAATAAGAGTTTTGAACTCAAAAAGTTTTAGAAGTACGAGAATAGAGCACCCGGTAGTACCACAAATTGTACTTAATAATTTTCATCTACAAGTTACCAGTTAGGTAGCTCAGTTTTAAAATGTTGTATAGTACCACAATCATTTTAAAATGCACATGTCTCCAGTGAGCTCCGGTTTTTTTTTCCTTATTCGATTCAGCTAGCTTGTTGATACTGATTTCACTTAACTTTGAGTAATTTTAGAATTGAGTGGAGCCATCGAGAGTCACCGGAGAGCTCAGTGCCGGGCGGCGGCAGTGACTGAGCGGCAAACGGTGAACCGGGCCCCGGACGGTGCCGCACCCGCTGAACCGGGGTGACGGTCAGGCCGATGCTCAGTTGGACGGCGGCGGGTCCGGCCCCCCGTCCGTCCGCACGGTCTGAGGCGAGTCTCTCTGTCAGTGTACGGTCGGACTCGCCTCCGAGGCTCGCCGGAGTCCATGATCCGATCCCGAGTCCGATGGCCGCGGCGCGGCAGCGGCCTGACACTGAGCACGACCCCGGTGACTCCATTCAGAGTCCGACGAGCGGGAGCCGCCGCTTTGCCAACTTTGCCAAGTTGTCCCTCAGCCGGGGCCGGCCCCCGGGGGCCTGGCACGCCGGACTCCGAGGCTCAGGCTGCCGGTCCATAACGCTATCCCGGGGACGGGCAAACTGAGCTTGCCTTGGCCGACGGTCGCCAGGCCGAGCCCCGGGCCAGTGAGCCTCGCTCGGAGCGCGCGGCCCGGCCGGTCACTAGCCTAGTAGTTTTTCGGTCGGTGCCGGCAAGCAACCGTGTAAAAACTGAGTTCGGGCGGGGCCCGGCCCGGCGGCCGGGCCCCGGGCAGCGACACTAATCGGAGTCTCGGGGGCACCATTCAGGACATGCCGCAGCCTGAGAACTTTGAAGTTAGGTCCGCCGGGTTGGCCAGAAATAGCCGGCGGTAGCACAATGGTAGGTTACGAGAAGGCGGTTCAGGGACTTGATGCCATCGGTGATGTTGATAGTCACTGAGTGACAGTGCAAAGCGATGATGCAGTCGTTATGTTGATACTTGTAACTAATGAGACTCGTTATGTTGATACTTGTAACTAATGAGACTCGTTATGTTGATACTTGTAACTAATGAGACTCGTTATGTTGATACTTGTAACTAATGAGACTCGTTACGTTGATACTTGTAACTAATGAGACTCGTTACGTTGGATACTTGTAACTAATGAGACTCGTTACGTTGATACTTGTAACTAATGAGACTCGTTACGTTGATACTTGTAACTAATGAGACTCGTTACGTTGATACTTGTAACTAATGAGACTCGTTACGTTGATACTTGTAACTAATAAGACTCGTTACGTTGGATACTTGTAACTAATAAGACTCGTTACGTTGATACTTGTAACTAATGAGACTCGTTACGTTGATACTTGTAACTAAAAAGACTCGTTACGTTGGATACTTGTAACTAATGAGACTCGTTACG